ATAACGAAGAGCTTCGTAGCTTAATGCAAATCAAGGTAGAGAAGGGAGTGGACATGATAAATGATTTGTTGCCAGCTGATGAATTAGCTTTGGAGTCGACCATCCATGTAACAGAGTCTTGCCAACACTTGCAGTCTAGCCGAGGGGTTTGGTTGGTGGGGGCTTTTATACAATAGGAATAAATACATATAATTATAATGTCTAAGTTATAAACATACAAGATAACTATTGATAGGTTATAAATTCTACGCTTTTAACTTTAAGATCAGCTATTTGATTTTTTATATTGGTATTTTAACGATGAAATTACTCTCAGTCTACTATCAGAAAACAACGTATTTGCTTAAGAATTAATTCGTTAGGAATAGGAATATATAAAGAAAGAATAACGTATTCAAAGCTTCGCTTCTCTCTCTGAATCGAAACATTTAATATGTGTAGGTGATTTATATGAAACACTACTCCTCAGTTAATAAGTTATGGATTTTGAAAAAAAAAATGTATAAAAATGAACTGTTTTTATTTCGTCTCTTCCTTTCGCCAGCGTGCAAAGAAAGTCCTCGAGCCTTGCCCTGAAGGTCTTCATAGTTATAGTGTATTGCTTATGGAGAAAAGGCAGAATTATTTATATTAACTGAATAACAAAATAGATGATTATAGTTAAATGTATATATTGTATAGTATAAGTACATAAAGCTGTTTAGTAAGCAACCCGTTCTCCGTTTCTCGATATATTTTTACTATGGATGAGTAAAAAATCTGTCTAAGTTCAGAGTTTTACAATGGACGTATTAGATTTTATGTCTTTTGAAGAGCACGAGCAGCCTTTAAAGTTCAAATTTTTGGCATAAGATAAATATGGAAAATATTTGTTACTATATTAACCGATCACAGAAAACAGAAAAAAAATATATCTTAAAACATTAATACAAACAAGCTTTTATAAAAATACGCTACTTGGAAAGTGTGTTCCCCATAAGTGTTTTTTATGAGTTACCCCCCACATACCATAAATAATAACACGCTCTAGGTGTAAAATTAGCAAAATGGGTTTATATTTTTGGTTGAAGCCAGAAGACTCGAAAGAAACTCAAAATCAGTTTATATTTAATCTAGCAGTGCTATATTTTACAAGGACATAGTTTAACTGTGTTATACAATCAGTTAATATTTTATTATATTGAATTTTAGCCTCCTGATCGCATTTAAATACTATAAATTGGTGTAAAATACCTGCATTTATGCGATCTTGTGTTGTAGCTGAGTTGCTACCGGTTTCAACTCACATTGGAGTCATCTTCAGGCAGTTATAAGATGTCATATCGCTTCATTCGAAGGTCGTCAGTGGATAATAAATACATAAACAAAACACAAACACGTACACGGACATAAAAAAGAACATTTAAAGCTGTAAAATACTGAGAACGGTAGGCCTACGGGACACGACACGACGTGATCGGGCGAAAGTTATGTCTAGTTATGTGAAGATGACTCCAATGTGAGTTGAAACCGGTAGCAACTCAGCTACAACACAAGATCGCATAAATACAGGTATTTTACACCAATTTATAGTAATATTTTATGTAATTAGTGTAAGGTATAGATGATTAAATGTGATGTACCAATTTAGTAACTGATTTAGTTTTTAGAATTACCCAAATCTGACTAAATATTTGTTTATAACTGCGGACGCGTAGATGAGAATTTGAATAATGGCAACTTAGAATGTGGTAATCGATCTTTAGGTGACAGGCGGGATGAATGAAGATTGCCTGTTTACACCGCCTTGCCTAAATTGGCTAATTTATTGGTCCCTCGACGAAAGTTCCTCGATGCCCTATATCTTGCTTTCTTCAACCAGTGTGCTCGAGACATATCCACTTAATCTAGCTCATTTTAAACACTTAAAATAAATATTAGTCATTGATACAAGTTATTGGTTGTGCCCACGGGTTTTCGATTCAACATTGAGTAGTTACACTTGCGATATCTTTGTATGATAATTTTTTTTAAATCATTTTGATGTATGTAATCGGTAAAACTTAATATATACTCCTGGAACATTAATAGTACTCGGAGCTTTTGGTTTTAGCTACTATATTACTTTAAATTAAAGGTTTTTGTAAAAGGTAAACAATATTACTAGAGCGTTCAATACAAAACTACTAGGGGAAACCCGTCGAAATCGACGGTTACTTTCAAGGCTTACGTTAATTCATCTAACTGCGATGAATTGGGTGAAATATACATATTTTGAGCATTTAACATTGTAAAAACAATAACAATATTGCGTTAGTTGCCAATTTTGGTTGTTCATTCAATGATTAAAATATTTCCTATCCTGTACGTCATCGGAGTTATTATTAGTATGTTATATGGTATCTCTTCCTTTGGTAGAACCTTTAAATAGTATTTAGATAGTATTGGTGGATCTTGTAGTTAAACACTTCCGCGACTTCATCAGTGTTTGAGAAAAAATATATGTTTGTTGAGAAGACACGTTCTAACTTCAAAGGGAGATATATCCGTTACAGTGTAAGTTTGATTTTCCTTCGTCACGTCGCGTCAGTTCATATCGTACTTCTGTGCCAATGAATGAACCCTCTAGCATAGTTTTGAGAAATTGACTGTGGGGTTACTGATAAAGCTGGAATTCCTTGACATGGGGGATGTCAGTTAGTTGTCTCGGCCAGGGCTGCGTTAAGGGTCAGTGGAGCCCTGGGCAAACCCAAGAGAAACCCCCCTTTTTTTCCTAGTGCTGGCAGGCGGTGGTTTGGGGGCACCCAGTGGGCGCCCCCAAACCACCAGGGCCCCTGGGCATATGCTCAGTCTGCCCGTTTATAAAAGTGGGCCTGGTCTCGGCCTTATCAATAACATAAAGTTGTCAATATAATCTCTCTACGGAATGTTACGTGTAGTGGAATACATGAAGTAAAGTTGGCTTTTATTCTTGAACTGTTAGGGGCCTCCTAGTTCATATGATCTTGGCGGCTTCATTGGCAATAAATAATGCAAATGACATAGCAATTGAACATTTCCAAAAAGCAAAAATACTGTAAAATGGCTGTTACGTATATATTGACGTTTACATATTGTTAATCAACGTATATGATAAATACTTTAATCCTTTAATATGTTTTTTATGGCGACCATTCATAGTAGGTAAGCCAAGTATGAATGGAGATGAGTGTAGGATGAGTGGCGCGATCTTGAAGTCTTGTTAGTTACTAAGGCCGACATTCCTTAGATACAGCTGTTAATTAATAGCCCATACAGTGAATGGCAACCAAGGGATCTACAGTTTATAGTTGAATTGGAACCAAATTTTTTTTGCATTGGTATTTATGAATTGGTATAATTATCAGGACAGCACTGCGGGTAGTCGTAGTACTCACTCGTGCGGACGTTAATCCACACCAGGGAGTATCGCATCCACAGTGCATTCCTATAAATATCCACAATTCGTGACCTCCTAGTAGCTGGATTACAGGACGACGCCACCCGTCCCAGTCAAAGGATTATGTGATCTAGTTTAAAAGGAAAATGACCTTTCTGTCATGACAGTAGCTGCTTAAATAGTATTTTCTCTTTGTACCATATTTTACAACCAAAATGTCGTGTTATTTTCAATAATGTTACTAATTCAGTGCGCCAAAGTCCGTAATATAGGCAGGTGCAAATTATTTGTCAAGATAGGTACCATTTTAGTCAATGTTTCTAAGTTTGGATTTTATTAGACACAATAAGAGCAGATATTTCTACATAAATATTTGATATTTTGTAGAATAATATGATAAAATGTAGGCAAAAGTGGCGAAAAAGGCACACACCAACCCGTACAATAGATATAAGATAGTTCAATAAGAAATAATTTAAGAATTGCTGTGATAAAAGGATTTTCCACTGATTTCGTAATGGAACGTTGTATTGCAAAACATGGCATGATAAAGAAGAAAATCAATTTTAAAATCAGAAAATAACATTGCAAATACTTATTTGGTAGAATTCAACTCCCAATAAATATGTGTTGTTTGAAATACAATTCAAAAATGAACAGCTGTTTCATTAAAAAGTATTATTCTCATGGCCAAAATGTAAACAACTCTGTGAAGGGATCTTTAAAGGCTTCTGGGGCAGAGTCCTAAGGGATTTTGCTTAGTTTTTCTTTTGATAACTCATCCACAGACCAAGACCTTTCTTTGGACACCTCTACCAAGTTTCTACGCCCAACCGTTCTCTCAAATTAGTGGGGACAAAGTTTCCAATCAAATATTTAGATTCCCCCATGTTAATCTTATGGGAGAAACTCCAACTTTGATTGCCTGTGGGGCAAAGCCTGAGAATTTTTACTACATGAATTGGTGAAAGGGGGTGTCTACACAAAAAATATTTTATTTTGACACGTCGTTTGTAAAAATCCGTCCATTATTAACGGAGGAGTAGTGTTTTCAAGAAATCGTCTTCACGTATTATATATAAGGATACAACATTTCGGCGAGGATTACTTTTTTTAAATACAAGCTAGTATCACTCATGACTCAACTCATATAAATGTGTAGTTAGCTATTTAGTGCGGTAGTTATGTATACGTTTTAATTACAATACGATAAAATTATGTATTCCATAAAACCAATGAGATTTATGGAATTTTGTACATTATTGGATCGAACGACATAAACCCTTTTAGGTATAACACTGTATTTTGGAAGAGGTAAATCATTTTGCGGTCCCCCGAGGGGATCGCTTCGTTCCCCGCAACATGAATATATTCTAGTGACAATATAGCAGGCTAGACAGGGTGCCAGTTATGTTAGGGGGTGGCATGTAGGGGGCCGCACGGGGTGGCAAGGGTTAGTCTCTCGGCAGCATTAGCCGCGTCTGCCGCTTCGCTTCCCGCTGTCAGTGTATCGTATACGTGCCAAAAAGTCGTCCAACTCTTTAAATATATTCATGTATGTAACAGAAAAACCTGTATAAAGTAGCAAAAGATGAACCTGAAAAGTGTTAGGTGTGTTTATGTATTTATTTATCAATACGATGAATGTAGTTAATAATAAATTAGATAACAAGTGAAGATGTCATAGTCGTATAATGAACGAGTCGGAGACGTGGGGAAACTGGACAGTGAACGTAACAGACTCGGACCCCGGCGACTGGCTTGGCATGGTCCAGGAGCGCGCCCCTCTAGCGGCCATACTGCTAGTGTTCTCCCTGGCCACGGTGTTCGGCAACTCCCTAGTGATGGCGGCGGTGGTGAGAGAGAGATACCTTCACACCGCGACCAACTACTTCGTCACCTCCCTGGCTCTCGCGGACTGTCTAGTAGGGCTGGTGGTGATGCCGTTCAGCGCGCTGTACGAGGTGCTGCAGCACAAGTGGTACTTCGGGATAAACTGGTGTGACGTGTGGCGTTCTCTAGACGTTCTATTTAGCACGGCTTCTATATTAAACTTGTGTGTGATTTCACTAGACAGATACTGGGCGATCACGGACCCTTTCACTTACCCCACACGCATGAGTCGCCGGAGGGCTTGTTTGCTGATAGCCGCTGTCTGGGTGTGTTCTGGGGCGATCTCCTTCCCCGCTATAGTGTGGTGGCGAGCCGTGAGGACCGAGGACGTCCCCCAATACAAGTGTCCCTTCACCGATAGTTTAGGCTATCTCATATTCTCTTCCACTATATCGTTCTATGGGCCGTTATTCGTTATGGTGTTCACGTACTACAAGATATATCGTGCAGCGGTAATACAGACTCGTTCACTCAAGCTAGGAACCAAGCAAGTCATTATGGCTTCCGGTGAAATGGAGCTGACTCTGAGAATACACAGAGGAGGTGAAGCCAAGCACGATCTTTACCCTATCAACTCTAGCGCGTCCGATGACGTAAGCGAGGTTGAGGGACCGTTGAACGGCCTCAGCAGACAGTCTTCCTCCAGGATGCTCCATAGCAAACAAATGGGGAAAAACTTCTCTCTTAGCAGAAAACTGTCGAAGTTCGCCAAAGAGAAAAAGGCAGCGAAGACGTTGGGTATTGTAATGGGGGTGTTCATAGTGTGCTGGCTGCCGTTCTTCGTGGTGAATCTCCTCAGCGGGTTCTGCCTCCATTGTATCTGGCAGGAGGAGCTCGTCACTGCCATAGTCAACTGGCTGGGCTGGATCAACTCCGGCATGAACCCCGTCATCTACGCTTGTTGGAGCAAGGATTTCAGAAGGTATTCAATATGCATTTATTAAGTTCCTGCATTCACTGATATAATTATTTTAATCTCTTACTATTTTTAAATGTAACGAATTAGGTGTTGAGCTTTGGTCGGTGACAGTTTTCATATTATTATTTGACTATACTATACGTACTATATAATAATTCAATTTGATACCTAAACAATTATTAAACTCTATTCTTAAAGTGATTTTCGCTATTTCGTATTTTTAAACCATAATTCTTCAAGTAAATTAAAAAAAAAAATTAAGTTTTAGGTAATCTCAAACTATTTTTTAGCAATGTTTTTAGCTCTTTAAAATATCATTAGTACCTTGTTTGATTGTAAATGTGCACACGTATACTATGAAAATGGATGCAAATCAACCGTAAATATCCACAATCACAACTCTTGCCACGGTAAATTAACATTCCGTAACTGTGGAATTACCATTTATTATTCTTCTTTAATGAGAACAAAGTAAATGAATACTGTGTAACACGTTGGTGATTATTATAACTGGGTGTAGTAGTATTATTATACCTCCAAAAAAATTGATATCCTACAAAACTACAGTAACTTCAACAAGCTATAAGCCTAAATATATTTCCCAATTTAAGTTTAATTTAAATAAGTCGTTTATAAGTTGTCAACCTAAAACGTGGAAAGCTAAGTATTATTATTTTTTACTTTTAGTAAACGGTTGCAACTATGTGCAACATCAATAAATGCAGTACTGCCTACTGGCCTAAAAAAAATTTTAATTCCTAAAGCTGTCAAGTTATAATGTATATCTTTTTGGGAAAATTTAGAACCATTACGAACTATACCAACAGAAATCTCATTGTGAACAAATATGTTGTTACTAGTCAAACTGTAAAATTAAAAATACACACTAAAGAAAACTAAAAAAAAAATATCCTATGTCCCATAGATTTCTTGTGATCCTCAGCTTTGTTATGAAAACACAATATTTACCCAGTGTTGGGGAAAATACATTATCGTACACTTGAAACACCCAGATCGAGTATTGGTTCAATGATAGTGAGATAAAATATAGCTTAAATACCCCCGTCGCAGCAAACCTGCATACTAAGCGAATTTCCATTTACCCGGCTTGATTTCTACTAAAATATTCCCTATAAATTTTCAGATTTATTTCCTATTTAAATAACATTAATTTTAGTTAGTAGTTAGGTTTGCTGCTACGGGGAAGATGTTGAGGTGTGTTTTTTTCAATTGAAATATTGATAGCTTACTATGAAATAAACCAAATTGCCAAATTTGATTAAAATATATCCATAAACAAGCAAACTAGAACAGTTTATTTATTCTCCATAAGAATAACATGGGAATTTTAAATTTACAATTTTTTAAATTTTCTCCGTAGTCAATGAACATTAAAAAACACTTCAATATACTAAATTATTCGTTTTTTTAAGCTCTTCAAAATGGTCTAGAGAGAAATTTAGAAATTTAAAGTTTTTAGGGTCAAAAATTAGAAAAACCCATTTTTACCCCATAAAACCCCCCATAAACCCCTGATGCCATGGTCCGATTATGCTGGTTCGCGAACTCGTTCGAATAAATGTAGGTTTACACGTTTGTACCAAATTTCATCAAAATCGGATCAAATTTGCTCGAGTTATCGCGCTAACGGACACATATATAAATAAATATATATATATATATATATATATGAATTTGAACGGATGGTGTTTTTGGCCTCTGGGGACCTCAAAACGAAAAAGTAAATCGGTCCCGGGTCTAGGTCTTACCATGAGACCTACGGTAATAGCTTATTCCCTATATGGGAAATTCGCTAAAACTTAAACACAAATAGTATAGTAACAATTATGTGTCGTTTTAAATTAATTGAATATTTAAAAAATGGTAGAAAATTGCTTTTAATTATAGTCATTCTTAAAATAAAAATGTAAGGACAGGTGATTAAAATAAAGTTTGATTCTTTGTCGCAGAACACATTGTTGTATAAATTAATTCTTAGTTGAGGGGTTATGTTTACACACTCAAATAGTAAGTAAATGTACTCAATGCGTTTCATTGAATTGAAAAATAAATAACAGCAATTAAATTATACAGTTGATCAAAATGTAAACAATTAGGTTCTTCATAATGATAACATGGAAACTTTCAAAGCCACTGGGGCAGAGCCCAAGGGACTTTTCAAAAATGTAAGACCAGGTAATAAATTATACATAGTGGTAAGCAAGTAGTTATTCGTTCTCTTAGTACACTTATATAAATAAAAGCAAACCGCCATCAAGTAGATCTATAGAGTTTAAATTACTTTATTGCAATAAAATTAACAACTAAAATCATCAATATAAACTAACACCTAAAATGATGATCCGATATCAATAATAAACACCAAGGTGCGATGATTGGATAACAACGATGATTCGTAAGCGCTGAACCTTCAGTTAAAGGATTTATTGGATGATGGATATCTCATTATGACTTCATTTATTACTCGTCAGAGTTTGTTATTACCGTGAAAATCAATCTCCCTGCGAATCCGGCTCGATCAATATTTGATATTGATATTGGTAAAAATATTGTACAACACCATATTGGGAGGATCTGCAAATTCCGCAATGTTAATAGTGTTGAGATGCTATTAGTTCTTTAAATATGAAATGCTCTTGCGTTTATGAGTTTATTTTTTTAATGGATAATGGATGACTAATTAGAAGTTCAGGTATTACCATACAACATGTACGCATGTTGTGCACTAAATAAAGCGTAATACTTATTAAATATTCAAAATTCTTCTGATTTCTTTACTTAGTTGTGATATTTAACAATTTGATAAGCAATTTGAATAACTAAAGTACTTAACAAACACACCTCTATTTTATTAATAGGGAAGCTTTAAAAACAATAAGGTTAAATTTTGATTTGAATATGGTTATTGTCCTAACCATAAATAGGCATATTAAGAAAGGGGGTAGCAGCTTTAATTATGTAAAAGTTAAATTTTGTTAAACTCTCCCTATTAAATTAAAAATAGTATATTTACTCACCAGTGCGCAAAGTGGCCATTTTCGATTCGAGCTCAATTTAAATAAAGAAATGAATCCTAGGGTAAAAAGAACACTTAGGACCAGAGTGATTAGCTAAATTTTACTTCGTAATGCGCAATTATTTATTTTTTTTAATTATGCACCGCTATAAGTTAGCTCTCAAAACGATGTACATTTTGTTTAGATATAATTAGTTAGAGACCAGCTGTGGCCCGAGATAATTCAACTGTGTAATATGTAACGATGATTGTGTTAGTTTACAGTAGACTGACTACAACCATAACATAAAACATATCCCATTCAAATTCAATTGAAAACTATCTGCCAAACCTTTGACTACCTTGAATTTATTATAGATTGAAATAATGAATCCTGTCAACTTGATTTTCTCAAAGTTACATTAACAATGGGAAAATTTTAAATTTATAAAATGGGATCATAAAAAATATAAATTTGAAAGATTTTAATTGCGCGCCGCTGTTCTGTAGCTGCGGTCGTTATCACGACTACACCTCCTGTCTATGTTTCCTTGTCGTCGCGTCTGAGGCATTTAAAAGAAAAATAACAAATAAACTAATTATAGCAACAAAACAACGATATATTCACAAATTTAAGTTACAATCATGCTAACACGATCCGTCATAGCGACACAAAACAAAGATAAATACACAAATTGAAGATACAACCATACTAACACGATCTGTCGTGGGGGTTATGTTTACACACTCAAATAGTAAGTAAATGTACTCAATACGTTTCATTGAATTGAAAAATAAATAACAGCAATTAAATTATACAGTTGATCAAAATGTAAACAATTAGGTTCTTCATAATGATAACATGGAAACTTTCAAAGCCACTGGGGCAGAGCCCAAGGGACTTTTCAAAAATGTAAGACCAGTTTGCAAATCTACGCGACACGGTCTTTCCAATGAGACGTCAATGGATAAAATCGGTTAAAAAAAGACGGAGGAGTTCAACCGACAAAGTTTCATGTAGCGTATTAATTATATAGATAGGTTAAATTAACAACTAATAGATTAACTGTTAGGTTGAGGAGGCGTTATTATTTGATAATAAAACCAAGGACAACTCTCTATTTTTAATTGCCAGACAACCACCCAAGATCCTGTCTGTAAGTGATAATTATTCTTGAAAATATTTAATAAAACAAACCCCAGTAGCCTACGGCATCAACTCTACACATTTACGCTACTGGTCATCGACCGAACAATAATAAAACAGCTGCGCAATAATACAACTACAGTACAACTATTCACTATACATCATAATAGTCAGTTACATCTAAAGCCCCCCATACACGGGCGAGCATGTTCGCGGGCATGCTTGGCGTTTCCAAGAGACGGACGAGCATGCTCGCGAACATGCTCGTCGCTCGGTAGCGGTTCCTAGGCCTATTCTTGCTTCTCTTGTGCTCTGTGACAGTCAAGTGTGTGTAGGCCTATTAAGCCTACTCCTGCTTTTTTGCTGCAATTACAGCATTTAGTTTTTTTTTGCAACATACGCATTATTTCTTAGACATAAATCAGGGGCGATTTATTTTTAGCTGATTTTGTAATCAGCCGATCTAAAAATCGACCGTTTGTGCCAGGCCTTAAGTTATCAGATTAAATTCATCCGTCATGGTTTGAAAATAATGTTGGTTAAAATTCCATAGTTGTGCAATAACATTTCTCGTGGTTTTGCTTATTCTAGCCTTTCTTAGAATTATTTAATTGTGACAAATTACTACAGAATTGATTGTACACATTTGTGTATTAATATACATAAACCCTCTATTTTGGAAACTCATTTAAATTTGTATTTATTGCGTTACAAACACAAATAAATATTTATTTAGCTTCTGTAAACATTGATTCTAAATCTATTACTGTAACTGGAATACATCAGAGTATCAACACCATGATGATTACAAGTGCAATCTGTCTATTGCGGCTTTAGGTT